CCTCCCTTTTTGGGTCTCGCGCTTGGCTACTTACTACCTTAACCACATGTGCAGATCACGAGTTCAAACCTTGTCCAATGCTGTCTACATACTATCCTGAGAAATTATGATAATCCTACTGCGGTTCGAAACCCCTCAAGAGTCCAAATATCCAACAAATTAGAGCGCAATGCTTGCGTTCAAATTATGACAACCCCTTCAATAAAACCCCACTAAAACCGAAATAACGGGGGTCGAAACACTTACGGCAGGAAGCAAAAACACTTTGGCAGGGCGCAAGTCGTGCGTTCAAACACTTCAAAGGAGCAGATCGTGCGTTCAAACTTCAAAGGTCACACCCTTATGAAGATGGCATGGTTCAAACCAGGACTTTCCAGGATGCATCTGGCTGTAATTACTGTCTGAATTCAGACGAGAACGTCCTCAAGTGATGGTATTATGGAGTACAGTGGACTGAGTCTTGCGCGTGCTTTTGTGCCCCTTTCTTTTTCGGCCCCTTTTTTTTTTTTTTTTTTTTTTTTTTTTTTTTTTTGGCAGCCCCCGGTTTTTGCGCTGGCGTGCTGCCGCCTTTTCTCTCTGGCTTTCTTTTTCTGAAATTTGTGGCCATTACCGTCTCGCCTTGCAGCATCGCCAGTCAATCAAGCCCTGTTTCTTTTCTGGGCCCTCTTGCTTTCCTTTGGCCTCTTTTTCTGGGCCCAATTTTTTTCTGCTCCCCCCTTTTTCCGGCCCCCTTTTTCTCCAGCCCGTTCTTCTCGCCCCTGTTGCTGTGCTGGCCCCTTTTTCTTTTTCTTTTTTTCCCTCCGGCCGGGCTTGTTTTTTTTGGAACTTTTTTGAAAATTGGTGCCCTTTTTTCTGTCTTGCCTTGCAGCATGGACAGCCGATCGGGCCCTTCACGAAGGCGTACTGGGCTATATTCGGGTTGGTTGTGGCTGCAGGGTCTGCAAAATCCATCATCCGAGGAGATCAGGAGCGGTTTGCTGCAAACGGATCGCCAACATTGATTCAGAAAAGCAGCGACTTCAAATAGAAGAACAAGAACGAGAGGAAGAGAGGGGGGGGCAAGACAGGTGGGGACACATGCTTGCACTTGCACACAGCTTATCCATAACATTGTCATTGTGTAACCCTTCCAGTCCCCTTCCCTTTCTCCACCTGTCTGTGACCCCCGCGCCCTCCTCGCGCCCTCCTCGCGCCCCCCCCCCGCCGTTCAACCCCCACCCCACCCCAACCCCCCAACCTCCCAACCCCTTCCTCGTCCTCTTTCCTGCTGTCTGTCCCCATCCCTTCTCTCCAAGATCTCCTTAACCTTCCCCATTTGACAAGCAGAACCTGTTATGGCATTTGGCTCTCTTGGCTGTCGGCGGTTTGGCTATCTGCTGTTTGGCTAACTGTGGTTTGGCTATCTGCGGTTTGGCTAACTGCTTTTAGCCAGAGAGTTGAAAGAATGGGCCTGTTAACATGGGGCCGTGGTGGGGTTGGACCTCGGCAATTTTTTTGCGCTCGTGGTGGGGTTATCTTGAACAAAATCAGGAACAAAATCACCCCTTCCACTTTTCTATCCCTTGTGGTGGGGTATCTTGAACAAAATCAGGAAAAATAATAGAAAAGTTGAAGGGGTGTATTATTATCCTTGTGGAAAGCGAAGGACTCAAAGGAGACATCACATGTAGCCATGAGGGGTATCTTGAAGAAACATCCCTGCGCTGGGTTGTATAATAACTTTTTTTTTGCAATTGGCAATTTGGAATTCTGTCGTTTGAGTCATGATTTGACCCATTTTTTTTGCTATTGCTCATTTTCCTTGCACTGTTTAAAAAGCTGGCAAAAATGTGATGGATATAATATGGGGAATCTTCGATATGTCTTCTTTTTCTTTTCTTTTAAAAAATATTTATTTAAATAAACTCCCAGCCCCTTCTATTCTGGGGGCCCTTCAGTCCGGCTGCTGCTTGTCACCGGCAAAGCAACGTTTTTTGAGGGGGGGGGGGTGCTCCAGCACCACCCTCTCCCAGCCTATTATTGCCTTTCCTTTGGGATTGTCCTGCCTGCAAGTCGGGGGGTTTACACTGCAGGACTATCCCTAAGGGGTCAAGGCACCGGGGGGGGGGAGGGGAGGAGGAGGGGGAAGGGAGAGGTCCTTGGAGCAGCCCTGCGGGCCGCCAGTTACTCCCCCAACCCTTTTTTTTTTTTTTTGCCGCCTGTTACTTACGCGCACCTTCCCACCAAATATAATTGCAATATGTGAAATCTTCAATCTTGGATATGTCTTTTTTTTTTTTTTTTTGGGTGATGGATACGTTTGCCACTGCGGGGCCTGACTCAGAAAACGGTTTAATATCGTCTTCCCGCAAATGGATTTGTACAGGCATGATTCAGGGGGCAACTTTCAGTGTAGATTCACACCAACGATGTGACCGTGCGTCCATTGTAGCTGCATTTGCAGCAACTTCCAGTCTAGATACGTACTGTTCATGAGCGACGTCTGTTTTATTTGGGGAAGGCGGTAGTTTCGAAGCAGACAAAATCAATCATCGGCAAACTGAGGCTTGGCGTTGCTGCTGTTTGTCTGAAGGACGGATAGAGGGTCTCTGGTGATGGTGGGTGGTTTTGGGAGAATTCTGACTGGTTCGCACAGTGGCACGCTTAGCTGTCGGTAAACACTCACTGAACAGCTCAATTCGCAAAATAGCAGAAGCTGACTCACCTCTTCGATGCTCTTTCTTTTCTTTTCTTTTCTTTTCTTTTCTCTTCTTTGCCGATTCATGTGCAGCTGTTAACCTAACCGTTCCTTTCCTTTTCTTTTCTCTTCTTTTCTTTTCTTTTCTTTTCTTTTCTTTTCTTTTCTTTTCTTTTCTTTTCTTTTCTTTGGCGATTCATTTGCAGCTGTTATTATTTTCTTTCTTTTCTCTCTTCTTTGCTGATTCATTTTCAAACTTTCTAATTTTTTGAATTTTTTCAGCTTTTAATAAACAGGTCATGAGTTCAAATCGTTCCCTGACTTTCCACCTCTCCGCCTTCCACCTGTTAGGTTCTTACCCCATCTTTCTTTTTCTTTTTCTTTTTCTTTTTC